CCTTCCCTTCCCTTCCCTTCTTTCTTTTGAAACTTTTTGGAAATTAAATTACATTCCATCTAACAAATAGAGGGTTTCTCTGTGTGTTAATAATTATTAATAATAAACTGATTATTCCCCTCAACAAAAGCCAAGCTGCTAGACACTGGTGCTGTCCAAGGGCAGGGTTCATTCTTATTAAATGAATTTTTGCTCTGGTTTATTTTCCACATTTGCCTTCTCTAGTCTCACTTCTTCTTCATAAGCAGGATTGATAGAGAGTGGGGTTTTTTTCCAAGAATCTCAGAACATTACAAGTATTTATGAATTTAGGACAAAAATTCCTCTTCATTTACAACCACTGGTACATTTCTAGGGAATGTATTGCATCTGAGGCTTTCAGAAATGTGGGCCTTTATGATTTTAGGGTTTATGTTTTTAAGGTTGATCAGGGGGCATTGATGTCTAAATCCATTTTCTTTTTTTTTAAAAAGCTCATCTTCAGCAACTACTGATTTCAATATCTGAAATAACAATTAGAGCAAATCAACTACTCAATGATTTCCATGGAAGTTCTGTTTACTAACTCATGTTTYCCATGTAAATAGAATGGTATTGCTGTGACAAACCCCTGGTATGTGACTTGCCACAGCTAGAAATAATCTGACTTATCAGAACCCTGTACTGTCATATTTTATTGCTTATTTCCCAGTGCAGGTTTGCACTTTAAAGCCTAAGTCACCTTATTTCTGCTATCCTGTGATTTACATTCCTAAGTCTCCCAGGCTGCTTCCATGGAAATCCATGGGGTGCTCTGAGAGTGTCCCCCCTATTTTCTGTGGTGTAGAGAGAATCTGTGAGTGGCCACAAGCCAGGGTTTGTAGATAACTACAGCCAGGTGAGTTAGTGACGTGAATAATTCTGATTTTGGGGATATTCTGACTTCACACAGGTTTTTTAAGTACTGTGAGATACCAGAAAAATGAGTGGTAGCTACACGTGGCACTGGGAGGAAAAGGCTCCAAAAAGATTGCCCCCCAAATTCCATGTGAGATGGTTTGCAGAGAAGGGGTGAGGAAATGGGATCTGGGAGGACTGGGGCTCCTGGATCAAACACCCCATTAGGATGCTCCAGTGTTGGGTTCCAGAGGGGTTCCTGCCCAGGGAGGGCTGCTGTGTGTGCTCAGGGTGTGAGGCCACCGAGCCCTCGGGAGGGTCAGAGCCCTGCCCCGGCTCCAGCGGGCACAGAATCCTCACTCCACATGTGTTCCCTTGCAGTACCCYTCCTCTGCAGAGATCAACTTCAAGAGGATGGGCTGGGATCCCAGGAGAGGCTTTGTCATCCCGTCCCACTCCTTCGTGTACTCGGGGATCCTGACGTGCTCAGCCCACGTCAACGGCAGCGTCTTCAACTCCTACTACCTGGCCCAGAGACTGGGTGAGTGCCCAGGGACCCCTCCACGGCTCTYCTGGGGATTATCCTTGCTCTGCCTCAATTCTGTCTGACTGATCTCACTGCTCTGGATCTCTAGCAAGTCCCAGCTGGAATGCTCAAAGTAAACTCCTTCTTCCTTTTTTCCCCTGTTCAATAGAATTTGGATCACAGCCACTCCTGGCTTTGAAAAATGACCRAGTGCTGAGGTGGTACAAACCAGGAGTTTTATTCCAACCCCACCAAGGCTTTGTTTGCTTGGATTGAGCTGTATTTACCTTGAAACAGCTGCTGGGTCAGGATAAACGAACAGCAGCTTTCCTTTAGCTCCTGGTCATTAAACACAAGTGATCATCGTATAAAAATCTCACTGCTCTGCTAATTCACATCTTCGCTGTTTTATGGATTTTCTCTTGGTTATTTACTCCACCATTTCCCTCAGATTTACAGCTGAGCTTCAGCTCATAATTAAAATCTGAATTTGAAGCAACKAAACATAAAATTTTCTAGTGCTGGGCATTTATATGAAACCAATTAGAATTTATTTTTCTTTTGTTTTCCACGCATGTTCTTTATCTCCTCATATATTTTCTATTTACTGGGACTCCATTGCCATTAGCTCATGGCATCCTTCTATACAATCAGCACTCAGCTTTAACAACAGGCTTATAAATTTGCATGGCAGCCAAATAAAAGTCCTGTAAATCTCTCTCTATCTCCTTTCCCTCCCCCTTGTTGTAGTAATTTTTTACTAAAATCATGAACGCAAACCTATGAAACCTCTTAGGTCGTCCCTCTGCAGCTGAAAGGGACYCAGGAAATTCTCTGTTGTGTTACTGTCAGGTGTGTGTTTGGACACACCTGAGGAAACCTTAGAACTGGTGTATTTAAGGCTTTGAGGAATGTTTAGGACCAAGATTTGGGATCCCATTTGGGAAGGAAAGGGAGCTGGGCAGGAGGGGGAGATGTGGGTGATTATGGTAGGAAACACATCTTGTGTCCCACTAAAGGGGATCCTCTGGTGCTGAGACCCTCAAAAGGATGAGTGTCCTTTGGAAACTTTTCTGTGGACTGATGAGAGAGGGTTGGAGCCATGGCTCATGGGAGAGCAGCCATCCCTGCCCATTCCAYGGGATCGGGATCAGCTGATGGATCCCACCCTGCTCGGGGCTGCTGCAGGGAGCTCTGCACTCACAGCTTTGCCTCTTCCATCACAGAGGGCAGAATACAGAACCTGGCTCTGAAGGCAACTCCCAAAAAGCTGCTGGTGGGAGAAACCCTCCATCTGGAGTGCAAGGCAGAGACCTTCATCAACGGGCGCGTCGAGTTCGTCTGGACGTGTCCCCGGGGCAGAGTGAGTGCGTGGAATTCCCAGATCCCCCTTCCCAAAATTCCCAGGGCTGAGAAAACCTCATKGTTCTTATCCTGAAATTATCCAGCCATTTATAAGCCTATTACTGATGGCRTTTTTTGTTTAAATTAACCTAAAACATGTCTGCCCTTCTTGAATCTGCAGATSAAATGCAAACCTCAGCTAAATAAACCTGGCAAGAAAAGGCAGGAGGGTTTGCTTCTTGTTGGGAAGGAAACCTCCCTCATTCTTTCTGTCCTGGGCTGTCTCACAGCCACAAGTCTCAAATGCAGGTTGGAAATTGTCAATCTCCCCATCTATTTTGGTATTTATGAGCTAGGAAAAAGCAAAGCAAAACACAATTGAATCTGCAGAAGTCATCGCAAAAAATGAAATCTGAATTCTGAGTGTGGGGTCTTGAGCTTTCTGTGGCTCCAGTACAGAAGTGCCAAATTTGAAGCAGAAACAAGTAAGAGATTGAACATTTGAGTATCAAACCTTCTCAGTTCTCCTAAAAATAAAAAACCAACAAAGGGGGATCATTTCCCAAATCAGTTCATTTATCTGAGATCCTATTTATGGCTCATTTTGGTACTGAAAATTAAAATAATTGTGGTTTTTTTCTTTTGAACTCAGAAAAAGACATATTGCAAAGAAGCATCTAAGCCTCTTGGGAAGGGGTARAATGTGGTTCCAAAAATCTAATTCATTTTGATTTCATTTGTTTCCCCAAAGAAAGAATGGCTGGGTTTGTTTTGGTGAGGAAACTACAAAAATTTTTTAATTTATAGAAGTGCAAGCACTACAGCATTATTATACTTTGTTTCTTGAACCCCATATGGTGGGAAAKAATTGTTTTCCTATAAACTCTCCTTATATTTCTAACATTATAAATGTAAAATTCATCGGCCAAATCTCTGGGACCAAAAATCCTATCAAAAGTGACAATCTTTTATAAAATTCTGCAAGAATTTGCATTGGCTCTTGGCTGTCATAATATATTATATTTCTGTCATAATATATTTCTTTTAGAAAGCAGGAGGTTTTTAATGCRGCAAAAACACTGACTGCGGCCAAAATAAATTAGAAAACCCWCAAACCCAAAAGCTCAGAGCACAGCCCTGACCCTGCAGCAGTTTTGCCCTGAGATGCTCGGGATTTGCTCCTGGAGAAGGGCTGGGCTGGGCTGCATCCCCTGTTCACGTGCCTGGCCAGCTTTCAGCACAAAGCACCACATTTGCACTTTGTTTCTCTCTCTTATTAGGCTTGAGAATGAAACTTCACACAGAGCCCTTCCGGCTGATTTGCCTTTTCTGTTACTGATTTTATTTCTGTTGTATTATTATGATTATATATATATATTATTTTGATGGGAATCACCACTTTACTCGGCTGGCAGGCAAAGGATGAACACAATAAYACAACTTTTTAACCCTTTTTTTGTGGCTCCCAGCACCCTCACCCCAGGAGAACGATGGACCAGAGCGATGTGGTGTACAAAGCTGGCAGCAGCCTGACCATTGAAAATGTCACCATGGAGGATGGGGGGCTGTACATCTGCAGGACTGTCAATGTCACCAGGCTGGAGGCCAATGTCACCGTCACGGTGTACGGTGAGTGCTGCAGCCACCGTGCAGGGAGGGAAAGGCAATGCCAGGCTGCCAGAGCTGCTGGCTGAAAGGGCATCRGGGAGAAATTCAGCCAATTAAAACACCCATTAATCATCTAGAACCTTGAATTTGTTAATGAGAGTCAGCTTCTGTGTCTCCAAACAAGTTCAAGAGGTAGATTTAGGTGGGATATTGGGWAGGAATTGTTCCCTGGGAGGGTGGGSAGGCCCTGGCACAGGGTGCCCAGAGAAGCTGTGGCTGCCCCTGGATCCCTGGCAGTGTCCAAGGCCAGGCTGGACATTGGGGCTGGGAGCAGCCTGGGACAGTGGGAGGTGTCCCTGCCATGGCAGGGGTGGCACTGGATGGGCTTCAAGGTCTTCCCAACCCAAACCAGACTCAGATTCTGGGATGTCTGGGGGAGCTGAACTCTTTTGAAAAAGTTGGCACCAAGTGGTTGCTAAGGGCCTGGAAAATCCATCCTGCTGGCTCCACAAGAATGAGAGATATCCCAGGCAATTCCCACACTAATCCAGGGACAATGCTGGTGCAAATCTCTGCTTTCCATATAAATTCCCTCACGTGGGGTCAGCCTTTCCTGGCTGAGGCTGGGCTGCACAGGGGAGCTGCAGGAGCAGCCTGCTCTGCTCGGTTCTGTGCAGCTCTGCAGCTCTGGGTTGGGCAAAAACCCCGAGCAGGTCCCAGGGCTGAGCTCTGTCCTGTGCCACAGCTGCCATTCCACGTCCCCCTGCTCCTTTCTCTCCCCAGAAAAGCCCTACATCACGGTGTCCCACAAGAAAGGGCCCTACTAYGAGATCCCCTCAGGACACAAGGCCCTGAAGCTGGCTGCCAAGGTGGACGCCTTCCCTCGGCCCACTGTCACCTGGTGAGTGCCCCCCACAGCAGCACTGCCTGGGCTCCTTGGGAATCCTGTCTGGGATAATCAGCCCTGTTCCTTTAGGAATCCTGTCTGGAATTATCACCCCATTCCTTTAGGAATCCTGTCTGGGATAATCACCCCTGTTCCTTTAGGAATCCTGCCTGGGATAATCATCCTTGTTCCTTTAGGAATCCTGCCTGGGATAATCATCCTTGTTCCTTTAGGAATCCTGTCTGGGGTAATCAGCCCTGTTCCTCTTTAGGAATCCTGTCTGGAATAGATTTCCCCTATTCCTCCTTTAGGAATTCTGTTTGGAATTATCACCCCTATTCCTCCTTAGGAATCCTGTCTGGGATAATCAGCCCTATTCCTTTAGGAATCCTGTCTGGGATAATCACCCCTGTTCCTTTAGGAATCCTGTCTGGGATAA